AAAACCGATGCCGGTAGCGACAAAAACTGCGGAGAACTATGCAAAAAACGCATCTTCGCACGGGCAAAAAATTATTTTTTACTTAGCTCATTTGAAATAATTACTTCCAGGCCCTGGTTTTTTTCTTCGGTCGACTTACTAGCGCTGTTCTGGAGTGTGCGACATTAACTTTTACCATTTTTTAAAAATTCCTTTTGTTCCGATTTATCTGAGCGTTTTTGAAGATATTTTAAATCTCTTTCCTTCTTCTCAAAAGCGAAAACTTCTACTCGTGTTTTCTTCGGACATTTCACTGGTTATAGCCGTCCGTTGGCTGGCCGAATTGCCAGATGCGATTCAGTGAAAAACTTTTTTTTTTGCATTCTTCAAATGTTAAATTTCGGTAGTGCATTAGCAAGTAGCGCATCGATACATCCTATATCTTTACTAGTGAAGGGGCAGCTTCCTGGTATTCATTTCAACGATCTACTTACGCGCGCTAATGCTTTGCATCATTCCGTCACTTGCTAAAAGTCTTTCAAATTAATGCTTTTTGGAGCTTTCAAAAAGAGCACTACCTCTTATCATTGAGAACAGCAGCAATTGCACTGACCAATGTACCTCCCACTGTAGCACGGTCTAGACTCAGGCGGACCCCGAATCCGGCTCGCTCCGCCATCTTTGCGTTTCGCAACTGATCACCAAACAATGGAATCACAATCACCGGTTTACCATTTCGAGCTGTCTCCGTTATACTATTCATACCTCCATGTGTTATGAATGCGACCAAATTTGCATGTGCTGCAAATTTACCTTTCGACTTTTGAAAGAATTTAATTGCTTCAATTGAAAAAGCAAACTTTCCCAGGAGGCACACGGAAAAATTCAAGCCGCTAAGCTTTTAATCTATAAAATCCAGAATAATCATAAAGGCACATGACCGCATGTGACGCGTGTTCACTGCAGACAACCCCACAGCATGAAGCATTTGTTGTTTTTAATTGCTTTTGCATTAATGCAAGTGAAGGCCTGTCTCATGTACGCTCGCTTATTTAAGTGAGTCTCCTCAGACAGTTTAAGTTCAGGACTAATAAAATTAAGAACTTAAAAGTTATGTGCCTGACATTATGCGAAACCACTAATCTTTCTATGGCGTTATATGTGACAAGGTCAAAAATTCGGGTCAAATTTCATTACCAGGAAAAGAAAAAAACTAAAAATTGAGGATTTTCAGCAATATTTTTCGCTGTCTGAGGTGAATAACTTGCATTTTTTTCTGTCTTCGTTGTGAGCTGACAGTGATCTCAGATACAAGTTCATCTGACTATGTAATTTAATAAATAGCAACCCGCACCGGGCAGCCAGCGCGGTCATGCGTTTTGCGCAGTTCCGACCAGTGAAGGTTTTCCTGCTAAGTATTTCCACTGCTTGGTACTTTGGTCTGTACAAAAGTAGCTGAAATCTTGCCTGGTTCCTAAGTTGCGGAAGTCGTACTAAAAATTTCACGCACCGGTCACGAACGCTAAATTTTAAACCTTCGACGGTGAACATCCTTCCAAAATCAACATCCTAATTTTCTAGCTTTCGGTCGATTTTTGCGCCAAAACTTCCACTTGGCTGTACATGAGATCTCG